TTAGTTTTTTTAAGTTTTAAAAATGCTAAGATATGCCATAACCATGTTTTTTTCTATTTAATCAAATACACATTTTTTTTGATTCCTAGCAAATGGCTAGAAACTCCTTAGTCTACTTGTGTAGATTGGCCCTAATTTCCCTTGCATATTTATCTTTAAGCACACAATCATCCACTATAGTTGAGTTCCTTCAAAAACTGCAAATGATACTTTTGTATCTCATAGTTATATTATTAGTACTATATATATCGTTTATAAGCTGAGCTTTTCACACATTTTTAATGTAGTTTTTGTGGTAAAATTAGGTGCCTCAGCTGATATTTGGGTCAGCTTATACTCGAGTATATACGGGATTTTTAACCAAACACCTCTCCTCTTTCTGCTTTCCCAATATAGATTTGATTTTCCTGCCCACTATACTTCTGCTCACACCACTGTTCATGGATTCATGGAAAACTCATTGAGTTAGTTAATTGTGCCAGCCTGGCCAATAATCACATGTGGTGCTGGTTGAAAGGCGGAGGGATAAATGGGTGGTGAAGCCTCGCCTTTCTAGTTCTCGGGTCTCTTGTTTTGTGATGGTTGTATCGGTTGCAGCTGCCTTAGCAGTTCACTGCTTCAGCTTGCAAGATTGACTTCCTACAAGACATCCCCAAGGAGAAGCCGCATGGATCTATCCCGATGCAGCCCTGGGTGCTGGAGCAGCCGTGTGGAGACCCTTGCCAGTGCTGATATGCTTACATGTTCACGGACTCAGCTTTCCTCCTGCAGTCGGCATCGTTGCCTCTGTTTTGTGAGGTGGAGGACTTTGTGGACTGGTGTTGGGTATGGGTTAATGTTGGACTTGTGGGCTTGGGCAGCATTGGGTTGGGATGTTTTCGCGATGCACCTTTTCTTTACATAAAACTCTCTCTTATACGTGAGTCGCCATGGATTTGTTTCTCCAAAGTACCTAGACTAATACATTAATGCAGCATTGGGTTGGGATGTTTTCGCGATGCACCTTTTCTTTACATAAAACTCTCTCTTATACGTGAGTCGCCATGGATTTGTTTCTCCAAAGTACCTAGACTAATACATTAATGCAGCATTGGGTTGGGATGTTTTCGCGATGCACCTTTTCTTTACATAAAACTCTCTCTTATACGTGAGTCGCCATGGATTTGTTTCTCCAAAGTACCTAGACTAATACACTCATATACATCTGTGGTATGTTGTAAATTTTTTCTAAGACTTTCAATCCACAGAAAAAGAAGCATAGCCAAAGGCTTATTAGAAAAGTTCATTGCTTTTGCCTCACACACTCCTTCCAGAAGCAGCTAGTGTAATATAAAAATTAATTATTTACATTAGTTCTACTGAAAGATTGAGATTGTATTAATACAGAACATATTTTGAAATTGTTAAAAAACAAAACAAAAAACGTTATGTCTCCCACATCCAGAATACATGGGGACTCAAATAAAGGGGTCTAAGTGGAGCTGGATCCTTTCACTGTTATACCTCATGATAAACTACAAGAATTTTTGCTTTTGTATGAGCAGCCATTGAAGGTGCAACTGCTAGGCTCTTCCTTCGTAGAGGCAAAAAGCGTGATGAATATTGAAAGATACAGGGAAAAAACATTAGTCTCCACAACTCCAAGACCAGAATCCTCTAGACCATGACCCTTAGTCACCCTTCGGGCCTGGAACTGAACTTATCCCTTTATTGCAGAATAATTAACTGGTTGTGATAAGAAGGGCAGCATTTACTTAAGGGTGGAGTTCAGAGGGTTAGGGAGTAAAAACAGGAACTACAGAGAGGAAATGTGATAAGTGATGGTACTGTGAAGGACTGCAATGAAGGAGCTGAAAGAGAATGTGTATGAATGGTTTAGTGTAAAATGGATGATCTCCTCGTCGAACCTTCACCTAATTCACAACAGACCGTTTAAAAAGTTTAAACAAATAATTTTGTTTCCCTTTCCCTCCATCTTTAAACTGTGCTGTTTGGAAGCCTTAAGTTCTAAAAGAATGCTTGATCGAGGGACCACACAATGGTTCCATCCACTTCCAGTTGTGATTGGTGTTTGGACACCCAAGACTGCTGGATGCATTGAATCAATAAGCACAGATCACTTCATTGGCGTGGCTGACTAATCCTGATTACTAAGGGAAATTGGGTTATAGCTACATAATGGTGGAAAGGGCAGTCTGTAACTGAATGCAAAGAAATTCCTGGACTATTTCCATGGCCAACAGTTAAATTTAAAACTATAGCAACCAAAAAATATCAAGTCTAGTGAGCAAACTTTCCAAGAATGAACATTTCCCCCCCCTTAGATAATGAAACGCAACCAGCTGAGGGCAAAGTTAACATGAACTGGAGATTGGGAAAAGAAAGTTGCACGTATGTACTAAAGCTTTATGATCAATTATTAAAACACTACTTGTACCTATAAATCTTTAAACATGCATCCATATATTGTATAACACTTAAATTTCTATTTTATATAAGAACTGTTGGTGATGGTTAATTTTTTATCTTTAGGTTACAAAATGTTCAGGTGGGATTGTGCCTGGTTCTGAGGAGCGGACACCATTGTCCACAAATTAATACCATCACTGTTGGCCAGATAGAGAAATGGTAAATTTATCTATTTTATTCCAGCCTGTATCTTCTTTTTGGAAGAATGAAATTGATTTATGAAGGATTTCATTTTGTTAGGTAAAATTATTGTTGTGTATGGATGTTTAATTATAGTTAGTTTAAATATACATTAGTATGTGTGGATGCTGAGTAGATTTGGGTGTTGACTCTATTGGCCATTAGTTAAGCTAGTTCATTTCCAAACGGATTTATACTTTTCATATGATGATGGGTGAGAAGTTTGCATTTTCTAGTTCCCGGATTCTTGGCACCTGGCTCCTTGTTAAGTTCTGCTAACAGTAGAAACTAGAGGAGTACTTTTTAAAAGAACAAAAACCAAAAACTGGACCAGTTGATTCCAATTTAAGATGAGCCCAATGTGTGCAGAGTAGAACTGCTCCTCACATTTTCAAGATTAGGAGGTCTTGAGATAGATCACCAGGCTTCTCTTCTGAGGCACTATTGGGTGGATTTGAATGGCTATTCAGTTAGTAGTCAAGCCTTTAACTGCTTGCACCACATTTTTGAAGATAGAAAAGAACTAGGAAGGGACTTGATCCTTCCCATTTGCTTTCTGCTTTTGTCAATGTCATTTTGGTAATCTCAGTAGCATTAACTGGTTCTAGTCTTTTTACCCCCACCCTTGGCACTTGTAGAACCAGTATTAACCACGCATTATCAAAGATAATGTCTGCCCTCTCTTAAAAGTCTAGGTCCTCCATGAATTGAGTTGCCTCCTCAAACTTCTGATGCAGGTCTGAGAACACCCCACTAGTCTATGCCAAAAAACTTGGAAGAGAACTTACCTCCCAATCCACTGAAAGTGAAACCATCTGTCTTTGTGCCAATTTCAAAGAAATAAGACGCAACATGTGGAAATTATGATAATACTATTACTACCGCATGCAAATAAAATTTTGGATATAATTTTTTAAATGGTTGGAACAGTATGTCAACAGGAGCCCCCAGAAATTCAAGATGGATTCCTAAGAGGACATGGAATGAGGGATGATATCATTGCTCATGAATCTGGACTAGAAGCAGAGAATACCAGAAAGATGTTTGTGTTTATTGACTATGCAAAGGCTACTGACTATGTGGATGACAAACTAAGTGTGACATTGTGAAGAATGGGAATTCCAGAATACTTAATTGTGCTCATGTAGAACTTACATATAGTCCAAGAGGCATTGGTTTGAATAAAAGCAGCAGCTATTGTGTCGGTTAAAAATCAGGAAAGGTGTATGTCCTGGTTGCCTTTTCATCATATGTACTCAGTCTGTATGCTGATCATATAATTTGAGAAGATGGACTATACAAAGAACACACCATGATTGGAGGCATGCTCATTAATCACCTGTGATATGCAAATAGCCCAGCTTTGCTTGCTGCAAGTGAGTATGACTTGAAGCACCTACTGATGAGAATCAATGATTACAGCCTTCAGGATGGATTATAATTCAATGTGAAGGAAACTACAATGTTCACATTTGGATTAAATCACTTCATGGTAAAAAGAATGAGGTGAAAATTTTCATTTTAATTGGATCTGCAACCAGTGCTCATGAGAGCAGTAGTTTGGAACTCAAAGGACATACTGCGTTAGTCAAATCTGCTTTAAAATGTTTAAAAGCAAATCTGCACTTCAGATTACAATACACCTGACCCAAGCCATGGTACATTTCCAATTGCTGTGGACAATTGACAAGGAATAAAGGAGATGACAAAGATTTGCTGCATTTGAATTATAGTGTTGAAGAATATTGCTAGTTCCACAGACTAGCAGGAGAACAAGTAAACCTGTCTTAGAGGAAGTATAGTCAGAATACTCCTTAAAAGCAAGGGTGGTGAGACTTTGAGATACTTTGGTCATGTAATCAGAAGGGGCCTTGGAAAAGAACATCATGCAAAAAAGAGGAAGACTCTTTAACAAGATGGACTGACACAGTGGCTGCAACAATGGGCTCAAACATAACGACTGTGAGGATGGTGCAGGTCCAAGCAATATTTTGTCCTGTTGTACCAAGAGTCGCAATGAGGCAGAACTGACTCTACACACTTAAACTATCACCCTAAGATTAAAAAAAAAAACTGCCATCCAACCAATTCAAACTCATAGCAACCCTACAGGGCAAATATAATTTCCCCTCAGGTTTCTGAAGTTTTAAATCTTTACAGGAGTAGATGGCTTCCTCTCTCTACTGAGGTGGGTTTGAACCACTACTTTTGTTACCTGCTCAGTAAGTGGCCCACGAGGGCTCCTCGTACTAAGACAAGAATTATTTAATGTTAAAATTGCTTTCCTTATTCTTTCTAAAAGGAAAGGGATAATCAAAGAATTAAATAATTTCACTTAAATTACACCAATGTAGAAACAAACTGTTCTTTTAATTCAGCTCCACTTAAGAAATAAAGTTGTTTCCTCACACAATCAACATATTTGCCATAGTTTTACATACAGAAAACTTTGGTATATCCAACTGTTTACAAGACATGTTGCCACATAATACATTTACATTCATGTGACATGATGAAGCACACAAACTTATAAAATGGATATATATAATTACCCTTATGACTTGTATCTGGTATGTTTTAAATCATGTAACATGTGGTAAGTTTCTCTTTTTAAAAACCAATTCACATATTGCAATTTAAGGTTAGTGAAGTCTCTCTTGAAGAACTACAAGAGTTATATTCTTACTAAGAGAATTCAATAAATTTCTGTTTCTAAAGATCAGCTTGAAGCCAAAGCCTTAGCTATTTAAATAATCTAACTTTGAGAGCATGGAAATCTTATCAGGTTGTGTTGTTTGGTTTAATGCTTAAGTCATCTCAAGTAGCTCATAATTTTGTGCATCAGAGGAAAAGAAAGCACCATGGACAGTATTTTTTTCACATCACTGATGAATTCACAACACACAGATTTCACTTTCTGTTCAAAATTCCAATCAGTAATAAAGATCATTTATTTCAAATGCTCAATCTTCAAATGTCAGATTCTCAGCAAGATCAACTGATACATTAAAGAATGGAAATGATAAAAATAGATAATACATAATTACTAACTATGGAATTCAGATATTCTTTTAACATTGATGTTTTCTCCTTTTGAACTATGTTCCTTAGGTTTAAAAAGAACTCTAAAATAAGTGGGAAATTACCAAATTTGTCAACTGTATCTCTTAAAAAATAAGCTCAATTATACAGTAAGGTATTATCCTTACTGATATATGAAGCAAAGTTTTTCTGATGAACAAAAGCACCTCCTATGATGAGAAAATATATAAGGAAAATATTTCCTACAAATTAATATATAAATTTATGTGCATAAATGTGTAATTATCCCAGATATAAATGCAATAGTTTAAATAAAACATAATAAAAAATTCAAGCACACATTGAAAAATATTCTATACACCAATATTCCAGTTCTTAAACATTGTAGATGTATGTCGTTTTAGCCTCTGGGAAAAAGTTCCTATTCTAAATGATCAATAAAGTCTCTTTGGAAATGTAAGTTTTTTGTTTTTGTTTTATCAACAAAAAAAGACCTAGTATGAATTTCTGGTAAATTTCTACTTAAATGAAAGGTTTTTATAGCCACGATGCAACCTGAGGACAACAGAAGTGTCTGCAGAGGCCACATGGATAGAGGCCAGCTGGCATCTGCTTGTTTTCTATACTGAAGGTACCTGGTGAGCACAATATTAAGAATAGTAGAGCTTATCACTCTAAGTTTTGCTACCCACGAAATGCTAATACATACACAGTTTTAAACATTTCTAGATCCTAAGCTATGTCCTTGTCTGAATATATACAATGAGTACTCCAGACTTAAAACCATTTTTTAAATGAATACAGAGATGTAGAAAATGAATCATAATCTACTTGCTTTAACAGTTTTCAGTCAAGGCTTACTACCTATCTGTTTCTGATTTAATGTATAATTTTCATTGGTATAAGGAGTTCTAGCTTCTTCTAAGATGTTTCATTTCTTCTTCCCAGTGTCTTTTTGGTGTTCTTGCACTTCTGTTTTGCTTGTTATGGTTTTTTTCCGAGATGAGGTACTAGGAGCAACTGCACTAGAAGGTCCACTGGTAGCTAAATGGTAATAAATAGAAAAAACACTGCTTAGGCTTTCACAAGCATCTTTGCTCAAATAGTACTGTTGAAGGGCAAATGATTCCTGTTATAATTGTGAACATTATAAGTACTTAAAAATTTTAATCTGTACTTTTTAGAAATCAACATCAATACCCAGAGACAGTTTATTAAGTATATCTGCTACATAAGACCTCTTTAGAGTATTGAAAAAGAAGGATGTTACTCTGAGGGCTAAATTGTGCCTGACTCTAGCCACAGTATTTTCAATGGCCTTATCTGCATGTGAAAGATGGACATTGATTAAAGACTATAGAACAAGGATATTGAAAATACCATGGACTGCTAAAAGGACAAACAAATCTGTCTTGAAAGAAGTACCACCAAGTGCTCCTTAGAGGTAAGGATGCTGAGACTTCGTCTCACATACTTTGGACATGCTGTCAAGAAAGACCAGTCCCTGGAAAAAGATAGCATGTTTGGTAAAGTGGAGGGGCAGTGAAAAAGAGGAAGGCCCTCAATGAGCAGGACTGACACGTGACTGCAACAATGGGCTCCGATACAGGACCAGGCCGTGCTTGATTCCATAGTGCACAGGGTCCCTATGGGTTGGAGCTAACTCAATGACACCTAACCGTAATAACCTAACAGAAAAGTACAACACAAATCTCTACTGGCTCTACTTTTCACTTTTCTTTATAGGAATCTAATGTATTCCCTTTTTAAAAACTACCACTCATTGCGATAACAGCCAGGCAATCTATACTTCTAGTCCAGGCCTTTTCCCCTACTTACTGAAAATTTTTATGCAGGTGCCTGACAGGTAACATAATCATAACACACTTATAACCAAATCCCTAATTTTTTCTGTGCTCATCAACTTCTTCTTATGTCTTTAAAGTGTGATAATGAGGTGCATTTTATCAACAGATGATTGAGATAAAATATCCACACACACATGTAAAGAGACTACAGTAGTAAGTTTTTAGTCTTTAAGATCATTCCACAGAAGAAAGATGTAGGAGTCTGCTTCCTTAAAGATTCAGACTTGGAAACTATAGAGGCAGTTGTACCACACACTATGGGGTTGCTTTGGATTGGTATCAAAACAGCAACAGAAGCTCAAAGCTCACTGCCATGGAGTCAATTTGTTTCTGGTTTTACCGTGAGGACTGTAAGGACCCTACTCTTCCCTACCCCTACTGACTAAAAAGACAAATAGCGACCAAGCCCATTGCTACTGACTCAATTCTGACTCACATCAACCTGCTGGGACAGAGTAGAACTGCTCGATAGGAATTTTCAGGCTATAAATCTTTATGAAAGCAGAGTGTCACATCTTTCTCCCAGGGAGTGGCTGAAGGATTTGATCCATCAACTTTTTGATTAGTAGCCAAACACTTGAACATTGTGTTTTCTATGTTCTACCAGGAAAAATAAAAGGTTATAATTAGAAACATGCTTTCAATATAAAAAACTCAGGCTTAAAACAGCTTTTGCATTTAAAAATCAAGCTATTATTACTCCTTAACTGTTGCAGAAGCCACAAACCCACAAATACCCCTAACCTGGTTTGCTGCTTGCTTTAGTATTCTTTAAGGTAGCTTGTGGAGTTGGGAGGATCCTTGCAGGTGTATATGTATTTAAAGATATTTTTCTTCTTACTACTGGGCTCGAACGTAAAGTTGTAGAAGCTGGGGGTAAAAAACAAAGGCAAATCAATAATTTTCATCTATCTTTATATTTCAGAAAAATCCTTATAGCATATTTAGTGACCCTACATAATAATAGTGTAGAAAATAGCCATGGCCAAGGTTTACAGCAAAACCATCATTTCTATAAAGAAGATAGTTCTCTCACTTCCTTAACCGAATTGTTTATAATGTGAACCTTAGACATTTTAATAGTACATGCCAAAAAACGGCCCTCAAGAATAGGCCAACAGACCAATTTTCCCTTGCCCTGTTAGAAACTCAGATTCCTAAAGAGTGGTAGAGAGTCTGGTATCATTGTATTGCCTGGTATCACAGTTAGTAAGCTTTAAGCCAAAATCTTCCCAAATAATTTTGTTTTCTCCTCAAAATTATCAAGTGGAGATGTATGGATAGCATATCTACAAACTCAACAGTCTTCTAAACTATCATATTTAAGAATAGACTAACTAGAATACCAGTAACTAAGTAAGTCAGGTTGTCTTCCTATTTTACTCAATTGAGTTTTATCACCATGGAAGATAATTTTCAATATTATTTCCCCTCTAAACAAGATAGAGGACAAAGAGAGCCTGAAGAGATATACATTTTAAAAAGTTATTTAACTGATGTAACTTTTATGAATAGCGTGCTCTGGCAGAGAATAGATCATATTTATCAATCATATTAGCAGCTTATTTTAATATCAAAAAGAATAGAAAGCTATAGGTATTAGTAGGCCTAGGGTTTCGAGATACTTTGATCACTAACTATTTGATTTTCTGAACTGTGTCTTTCTCCTTTTTTCCCTTTATACAGTAAGCTGCTTCAAATTAAATCTTAAATAAAATAGACCAAAGCAGAGATACTCTGGGCGAAGCAACAGAGAAGATGTAAGCCCTGAACATCCAGCAAACTTCTCTCTTCCTAAACAAACTCATGAAGGAATGTGGTCTGAAGTCCACTGAACAAGTTTCTCTCTACAGTATGGGAATCCAATGACTTTCATGCACTATATTTACTTCCACATCTAGTTTCCTGAAAACTATGAGCATGACATTTCAAGAAAGTTAGAGGGACTGGGGCATAATTTTTATTCATGATATACAGAAAAGCTAATTAGAACAAGTGGAAAGGGAATCTACTACCCTTGGCCTCATTAATGCAGTGTGATGAACTAAACTCACTAACCACAAAAATTAAGTTCTAATAAAATAACAGCACCACAGACTGAGCCTTAGAATTGCTATTTTTGTATGGTTTATAATTACTGTAAAATATTCCATTAAAATGCTCTTCTACAAAACAAGTATCATTAATGCTACTATACCTATAAGGTATTCACTGCACATCTTCGAAATAGTATTGCTATCTACCTCAAGTTTAATAGTTAAAATCTTTCTTTGATCTCTATTTTAAGATTTCAAATCCCTGCCTCAGAGAGGCACTGAAGCAACAATCAAGGAGAGGAGTAAGCCAGATTGTAATCAAGCTCTCTACTACTTTTTGAGCACTATCCATTTTCTCAGGTCTCAGAGAACATCAAAGGAGGTAAACACTCTTTAACTTACGTTGACTTTGTAGCCTATAGAAGTTATATCATATGGAGTACTATGGGCTATAAAGAGGAGTAAACCAAATTTATAATGAATTAGATATTCTAATATACAGTCTTGAAATGAAAACATACTTCCTGAAGCCATTCCTAACATGAAATATTTTTGAAAATTCAAAATAAATAGTTCTCCATAATCATTACCACTAATGAGTGAAAGCTAACATACAATACCAGAAGGAAAAAAGAATAAAAAGACCACTACACTATAAATATTCAGGGGGAATCATCTGTATAGAATATAATGTGAATATGAAACTGATGATCTTCCCTGTAAACCTTAATGAAATACTTTATAAAGTGCCAAAAAAAAAATTCAAAACAACAAAAAACCCCACTGTGAAATCTTTCTAAAGTATGGTGGTCCTGGCAAAGGAAAAGAATAACTAAGAAAGCATAAAAGTGCCTTTCAGTCAAAGAACCCTAGTATCATTTCATTCTTAGTAGAAACCTAGAGTTTGTAGCTTTTCTAACATATAGCTGGAACTAGAGAGATTCTTATTCTCAGTATGAAACTAAGATTTCCCACAGTAGAAATATCACTGTGATAAGGGATTTATAGAACTGAAAATGAACATTAGCAAATGATTTCTAATTAGTTAAAAAGCCCTTGGCATTTCCTGAAATGATGTTCCTTGGAATAATGCTACATGTTTAAATGTATTACCAAAAACAATTTATTTTGTGGATAAACTGGGCCATACAGCATTTTCTTAGAGAACCTCAGCCTTTTTTTATATGCTAATCTAACTCTCCAAAGGAAGATGGGGTAAAATATAGTTTCCAAAAATTATTTAGAATGAATCTTCTTCACAAAAACAAACTTCTTCAGAATATTTTCTGTGAACACTATTTGAAAATATGCTGCACTCGTTTGCTGTCTTCAACCAAGAATTCCTTCTAAGCAAAAGTACAGAGGGAAGGGGTGTTTGCATATGAATATGGACTGATACTTTGTGACTTTTAAAGTTTATCGGAAAATGATATATAAAAGGGATGTGGAAGCGTTCACAAATATAGTCCGTGTTATGTTGTTATAACTTCTGTTGTTGGATCCAATATTTTACTTCTTTTTTCTAAGAAAGCTAATTTTTGTGGAGTCAAGAGAAGTGGTACATTGCCCATTACACACCAAAGAATTTCTAATAATGACCCTTTACACACCATCCTCTGCCGAAAGTCTATTCATCACCACTGCTTGAGTTTAAACTTTAATACTTCATAGCATATTCAGATGACAACCGCCTAACAATTAAATAGTATCATAAAGACAAGTTTCCTACTCATTTCAGGGCTCTTCTGTGGGACTTCACTTGATGGGGAAGCAACGGAAGCAAGAAATTCATCCACCTGCTTTAGAGACAGGGCATTGTGAAGCGTTTCCAGAGGGCAAATAGATGGCACCATGGAATACAATTCAAAGCCTAAGAAAGGAAAAACAAAAACGACAAAAGAAGTTGGATATTTTTACAAAGTCATTAATTAAAATGGAAGAAAACCATTGCTTAGAAGTGGACAGTTTAGATCTTTTCAATCTGTCACATGCAACACATGAGGATTTCTGAAGTCAAGACACCAGATGCTACGCAATATGGAATCAGAACAAGGTGGGACAAAGATTTCTTTTAAATGCAATCACATAATACAACATGCACACAACTGCATTCCCTATGTTGGTACATTCTTAGAATAACACTTGAAGGAAAAACCTGGGGAAAGAAAACGGAAAAAATATATGCAATTTTAAAGTGTTTCTCTTTTAAAAGTTAGGTCTGATGCCATAAAGTGTCCCGCATGTCAGAATGTTAAAGGTAACTTCTTGTTGAAAAATAAGTGTGTAATTATTTATGAAGAGTGGTTTTAAATATGTTCCTAGGCATGACAAAGCCAAAAATACTCAATGTTGTCACACCCAAACAACACCCACTCACTGATGCTGGAATTAAAATTCCAAATCACCTTTTATCTACACAATAATTCTATTACTGGAAATCACTGGCTGAGGAAAGGAAAAAGCAATACAACAAATACATTCATACCCAATAAATGACACAGAAATAACAAGCTTTATGAATAACCATTCATATATATTAATAACATCAGTGAAACAAAAACACCTAGAAAGACAGTTATTTAGTTAAAACATAGAATGTGTTATTGGTCTTCAAAAATCAAAAACATTAACGGCTTATTAAAGTTAGTTCAAACTGAATGGCTTTTAAAATTGCTTTCATATACTTTTAAAAATAAACTTTTCTGCATCCACTCTTTCAAAAGTTTAAACAAATTGCCCTTAAATGGAATACTTAGAATTCTTAAAAGTTTTATATGAAGTCTAATATACTAATTACAACATAAAAGTTAATTCAACACAAATAGACAGCAAAGTTCTGCTTCAAAAGGTGTATATGTTCAATTTAGTGTTGACTGATAGTATGGACTTAAATGATGCACCCCCAAATTACAAGCTTTCACAAGTTCAAAAAGTTTGCGGAAAAATTCCATTATCTTTTCATTCCATTTCCTACTGAACTTCTTAAATCCTTCTCCCAAGTGTTGCAAATCCTAAATCTATGCCTATGGTTATAATTACATCTGGAAATGCATTTTCTTTGTTATGTTACTGTGGAATGATTAGTGTTGGGTGTATTCTGAGCCAATCTCTTTCGAGATATAAAAGAGAATAAACAAGCATGCAATATGCATTCAGAAATATGGTAAGGTAAATGCCATGCCACATGGAGATCACCAAGGAACCCGGAAGAAAAGGTGACGATATAGGTCCTTTCTACAGACCCACCAGAGAAAAAAAATCTTCCCTTAGAGATGATTCCCTGAAATTGGCTTTTCTAGACCCTTAATCTGTGGGGGAAAAAATGATCTGTTTGCTAAAGTCATTTACTTGTGGTATTTCTGTTTTAGGAGTATTAGATAACTAAAAGAATGCATATTTCAGCTATTTCATTTTGGGGGGGAAATACTGATTCAAGAACTGCCTAATTTTCAGCTGGAGAATGGAATTTCTTTGGTTAGAAGAAAGTCTAGTTTTTCAATGGAAATTGACAAAAGACAAAGCTAATATGCTAAATTTTTAAGAGCAAATAAAGCACGATAGAACAGTATAAATGCTTAGGAAAACTCAACCATACAAACCAACAAACAGTCACTATAATACCACAACAGCAGTTACAGCACCTACAAATTAAGCACTAGAGAAATTAGGCTTGGCACAGTATTACATTTTTAAAACATATGCGATTCATGCAAATAAACACAAACCCTTTCTTTGCATTATACTAAACAATGGAGATATTTTTTCTCTTTCTCTAGAATCTTTAAAAGTCTTTGGTAACAACAGTTTTTCCTTTACTTGCCTTTTAGCTCTCAATAGGCAAATAACATTAGTATCAAGTTCCTCTAGACTTCTTTTTCCCCATGTAATTTTGAGTACACTGTTTTTAATGCACAATGAAAGGGTTAGCGTAGCAATTTAAAAAGCCACCCTGCTGTCAGGTTTAAAAGCTATAAAAACATACCACTGGAGCCTAGAAATTCCACAGAGGAAACGGACCAGCACCTATAGAGGTATAGGTGTTCTGCACAGAGGCCCAGAAAATAAGGCAAAGCACTGTCAGAAGATACTTGTTTCACCATGTTCCTTGAACTAAAGATGAAGGGAGGGGTAAGTCCATGATATGTGATAAGATGGAAGTAACACGAAAGGTAAGGGAAACAAAAAGTGAAAGGAAGAATCAAATGACAATTCAAAGGACAGATAACACCGCATAATTTTTTAAAAAGAAGAAACAGTTTGAAATCTGGAAAACCCAGAAGTAATATTTCTAGTTGAAGTATTAAGTGACTCTAGGTATAGAAAAGTAGTTAAGTTGCACAAGGCATACGAAAAAAAATTAAAGCAAAAATGAAACTAATATAAATAATGCTATCTTAAGTTAGATTTAATACTCTTTCTTTTTTAAAAATTGTTTTTAAAAATTTTCTCCTAGATAAAACTGACAATGCTGGCTAAAAACACATAAGTAATTTGTATTTAAAAAAAAATGTGGTCTTAAGCCTGAAATTTCTTCTTGTATCTTTGTGTTTTCTGTTCTTCTCATGACTTGAGGTTCTTATATATTCATTTTCTTTTAGAAGTTGCAGCTGTATCAATTATGAAATTTTCTCTTCAAATTTAAATACTCAAATAGCTAGAATGGAGGAAAAGCACATTAGGCTTCAAAGCAAAATTTTCACTTGTTGAGGATGAGATCTTCTTATTCCCCCTTCAAGAAGTATTTGTGAATTGTTATTTAAATCCATAATTAAAGGATGGATCCAGAAGGTGAGAAATAACCATAGATTTGTGTTTAATCTTTTAGCTTCATAAAAGACTTATTTGCAGTAAAAGAAAATGGTACCAGGAACAGAAGTACCTACATCCCAAACAGAAAGCAGAAGCCTTTGTATTTTCTTTTTAATTCTTGGATCCTGGATTATTTAAAAAGAGATCAGTAAAATTGCCATCTTGCCTTACAGATTAAATTTTCTGTAAGTAGCTATGACAACGATTCAGTTTATAAATAAAGCTCAAAATTTTAATTTAACCAATTGGGCTTCTAGACTTTTTTATTTTTTATTTTAAGGAATTGGTTTCTCAACAAACGCAAACCACATTGCCATACCAGAACAGAGTGAATGCTGAATGGAATCATCAGAGTGCTCCAGACCAATTCAGGTTTTGCTTTAGACAAAGGAGGAGGGATAGATATTACATAGTTAAATTTGCACCCCTGGGTGCCCATGCATTTTTCAGAGATACATCTCATCTGGCTATTTGGCATGGGTGGCTCTTTATTTCCATTAAGAATCTCAATAAAAACAAATGTGATCAAAAAGGGAATTAGAAAAAAATTGAATTACTAAGAATCAAGAACAAATTATGCAGACTGATCACTTGTGAAATCGTAAGAAATTTTTAGGAGTTACTTTAGTATTAAAGCTCATCATCATGATAATGTAAACATTTGATGAGTGGTGTTAAGCATTTGTGTAAATTACAGCTCAAAAAAGGAGCTACACAGTATCAATAATGTGGTAAATTGGAGTTGTATGCCAACCGAAATTAAGGAACAAGAAATGAATGATACTGTATTATCCAGATTTTTAAACAAAAGAAAAAAATAAAACAAAAACGGGATGAAGCAGAGAAGTATCTTTTAAAATAAAAGCAAAACGTACCATTGGTTGGGTGTCGAGCAAATGAGATAGAAAACCTTTTAACAGCAGAACCGCGTGTGGCGTCTGAGAAAGAGAAAAACAGGTACCTGAAATTTATAATAGCTACCAAAAGAGGGACATTTAAAAAAAAAAGAGGAGAAAAACAAATATATGAGGAAGTTAGAATTAGGTGACATGCAGAGGGATAACGAGAAAGGCTCATAAGCCAAATGCTGGTTAAAAGAAGTGAACTGGCTTGATGATGAAGGCAAGGTGGTTCAATGAAATATACAAAAGAAAGAAAAGCGGGATGAGTTGGCAGTTCTGATAAATTCATGTTGTACTGACAAAAGTGTACTTGTGAGAAAAAAATTTAAGTGATTCTAAACCTTAAAAGGCTACAAAAACAAAACCCGAAAAACCCCAAACTGCTATTAATAAAAGGGACAAACCTCTCCTATGAGCCTAAAAAGACATTTTGAATATTATATTTAAGGAATATTAATAATAGTGAGAGGATCTCCTTCAGTAGGGAACATAAAATACTCCTAGCCTGTGCTTGTTTATAAAATTATTCTTAATATATTTTCTTCCACTTATAAAGTTTCCATTCTCTGTTTTATTTCGATCAACGGCAATAAGTAAAATGTCGCTTACAATGAATAAAAATTTAAAAGATCGAAGATTTAGGGTTTATAATATGTTTGTCAACTATCTAAAAGAGGAATACATGTAATTCCTTGCAGTTCTAAATTTTACATTCCACAGTACTTTAAGTTTAATTAAAATTGATGAAACATGAGTTCAAGCTGTAAAAACACAGAGCACCGATAGTGACTTAAACAAAGGGTGCTAGGACTCCACTGAGATCATTCAGTAGCTTTAGGCTTTCCTCTCATACTTATGCTCATGCGGGTGTGCATGGGTGTAGGTAACAATCTGTGTGCGCATGTGAGCACATACCATCTATGCAGCCAGAAGAAGTCAGCTTTTTACGATGAGTACGAGCATAATCTTGTAGGTTAGGTGCACTTGAAGAACCCCCGAGCACCGAGGTGCTAAACAGGCCCGCACAGTGAGACCCTGATGGGAGTTAGAGAAAATACATACAACAACGGGCGTTCTTCCATTCGCATTGGGAATTCATGCAGCATGCAATTAACATGGCTCTTACCATTCATAAGGCAGTCTATGGCAGCACCGTGAACAGGCTCACAATATGCTTCTAATGTCCTAATGATCAATTTTAGGATACTTCTTCTAATGATCTACCAATCATCATCACCATTATATGTTTAAAGGGGAGAATTTAACACTAGACAAAGTATTATCTTTGAGGAAAAATAATATGCTCTCAAAATAAACATATTGTCCTGAAAGTATTTAGAAAACTACTATAAAAATTACTTTCAGATGGAATGAGATTCTGTCAATCCCAAGCCAAAATTATTATTTCCAAGACCATACCACATGGAGAAAATGAAAGAAAAATTCCAAATATACACTGTCATATTAAATCAATATTTTGTAATGTATGCCTGTAAATAGAGATGGTTTTTCTGATATTATTGAATTAAGAATTATCAATGCTTCACTTTTATTAAATGAAGCAAATCAAAGAGTGCTTATTTTGGGGGAGGTCAGGTAATTGCTTAAATAAAAGCAATTTCTTAAATAAGCAATTGCTTAAATAAAAGCAATTTCTTTTAAGTCATTCATGCTTAAATAACTTCTAATACTTAATAATGAAAATATCTTAATTAATAAAACCCTCAAGGCAGGCGAAGAATTTGGAGGAACATTCCAAATGAAACCCATTATTAGCAAGTAAAACACAGCCATAAGAAGTCGATGCTTAATTTGCAGCAAGTACTTACATCCAAGAAAAACTTTCACAACTGGCTAGAGATTAAATAAATTCCATTAACTATATTGTGATACAAATACAAAAGAAGGGGGGGATATATTAATTTCTCAAATGATATTCTAGGACTATTAAAACCTATCAACAGAGTTTCTAAATAACTAAAGATCTTCAAGTATGTTGGCATCAACAGAAAATTTGTAAAACTAATATCGAATTCACAATATATGCATTGTATAAAGTTACAATGAAATATTTATGCTTATATTCAGTTTCTTTAGACAACTTTTTACAAAAAAATAACATTGTACCCACATAGTTTAACAACCACAAACTTAAAACCAAATGAATTTTGAAAGGTCTTTTCCAATGTAGCATTGAGTTGTTAGCAAGGAAGCAATTATGTTCTTTAACTCACATTGCCACTGTTCATTAATTTGCTTTAGTTTTCCTTAAAAGCAGCTCAAAAAGAAAATTAATATATATGCAGGTAGGACATGGAACACTCCCCACTTGAAATTTTGTATTAGAAAGCAAAAAAACCTTTTGCATATAATAGCATCCCTTAATTTTTATCAATTTGAAAACTTGTCTTGCTTAAATTAAAACACACTATATTTTCATTTATTCACTTAAAGGTTAAAAATCAGTATTGGCAACTGGGCTGTATCTTTGACTGGTTTCCACACTGGGTATTATTTCTTGCTAGTTGTGATAACTTCCATGTTTCAAGTTTTACAACTCAGGATTTCTGAATTAGTATATGTTAAATAAAAACTAGAGCATAGCACTGAGTCATGCTTTCAACACGAAAGTGTTTTACATTTGTGCACAATGGGATACAATTTTCAATAGACTACATACCTATAGGATTCTGCTTCTGTTCCACCAGATTTCTTGGTGTGCGTAAGTAATTAGTATTTTCAGAGACAACCTGGACAAGGAAAGCAAAATAAATGAAGTAAAATAGTTTCATTAAGACAAAAGCCCATACTTCATATGCAGCCTGTCCAGACAAAGGTTAATAAGCTGAATGATAAATATTAGTAGAAATACATAAAACGAAAAATCATGCAAGATCCCCTTCGGAAGGGAGTCCATTTCATATGAGGTCCTTGCAATGAAGTGGTGCAAAGCAGGCATTCAGAATAAAACATCATGTATGAAACAAGACAGATGAAAAGAAATCATTTGATAGACTGATATAATATTTCACTTTCTCTTAAGAGAAGCCAAATTCCCACTCTTAAACAGCTCCTGTATTTGAGAGGAGAAAAACAACCACAAACAAAAGAAAAGACAGACAGAGACTGTTGAGGTCACCATACAATAACTGATCCATGCACAGGCTTTATCAGAGCAAACTTTAAATATTCACAGCTTAATAGATACCATAATCCCTTTTTCCTATAATCAAATGCATTATTTCCAAAAGGAAATTGCTGAAATTCTCAGAAAACTCATGTGTAACAGCAGACCATGCATTGTAACTCAAACTACAGTATTTTTATTTACTTGGGTATTTTTATTTACTACAAGATTTTTATTTACTTAAATTGTTGATGGGCACATACATTTTAAATGAAGCACACAATATAACATGGCTAAATTAGGTACTTCCAAATGTTCAAACAGCAAGGGAGAGAATGATCAATACAAGACAAAATGTGCTATTAAAAATGGGAAACTAAAATTCCAATATTTTTGGAAATGTTATCAGCAAATTCCAAGTGGAATCTATATTTTTTCAATTAGACAAAAAATTATTAAATTTCCCTATTATCAAATTAAGCAATTTTGTTTCTGTAAGTCTTAAAGGACAACTAAGCCAAAGAGAACTTTCTTCCTTATTTAAAAATATTAACCAAGCTAAAGTTCCAGAAGTACAAAATGTATTATTTTTAAAATTCTGGATTTAAAACTCTCCCAGAAAAAATGCTGAACACATACAATGAAAGCGTTTCTTTGCCTCAAATATTGTCAGTCATCACAAGCATTTTTTAAATTAACCCCCAAACAGAAGGATTTACTCTGATGTAAATACAAGGGATTAGATGTCCTCAAAGAGAGCTGTTTGCTGCTCTGAATGCAGGGCGGAAAAATGTTTAATGAAGTAAAGTTTAAAAACCTGTTGCCATGAGCCAAAAATACTGGATGTGAAAGCCAATGATTTGGGGGAGACAGGGGAAGAAGTGATTTGTTCCCCTGATCTGCGTCTTCGACGCCCAGTACCCACACCACTGGTATAATGCAGCCAGGTACCAGTACCCTCTGGGCTAGACACACTCAGGGGGCTCTCTTCCTGGAAGTGAGAAAGGGGCAAAAAAAAAAAAAAAAAGCAGAGCATGCAAAGTTAGATACAACGAGGCAAATGATCCAAAAGAAAAAAAAATACAGTTTGTTTGCATTTGTTTATTAATTTTTCTAAAGCTATTAAACAATAACTTGGGAGCCAAATATTTTAATATTTGAGAATTTCATAGTAATAATTATACATCTAATTATATGTGATAATAAGGATAAGGAATACCTTATGGTAAATCTATAAGTTATTTAGGCTGCTTAATAATAGTTGTTCATTTAATCTTAAAACTAAAAAATGTTTTGAACAATTTTCTATTTTAGTAAACTTTTAAATATAAATTATTTGCCTAAGTGGTTTTGTGCTATATTGGATACACTCTTTAACCCAGAAAATTAAAGAATTGTGTGCAAAGAATCTAAGCGACTTCTATGCATAAACTTCAATGGGAAAAAAGTCTAGTAAGCACAAAAAAATTCAGAGCATAAATGGATTGAAACTACACTTGTTTACATTTTTAAGCCACTTCTTTGTTTACCCCGCCAGAGATTATTTTTAGAGTTCAGTAGGCAAAACATGCAGCAAACATTTTTATATACATGTTTGCAGGATCACTTTTCAGACAGGGAGGACAGAGTAAAATCTACTTGCACAAAATGAAGAGAATTGTCTTTTTCTCTGTATGTCTTTTGGAAGTACAAGCGTCTGGTATCCATGAAGATGATGGGCGCTGGAAAAAGTCTTCAAAGTTTTACTTGAATAATTTACCTTATGGAAGTAAAAGTTTAGCATAGCACAGAAATACTTTATTAAAAGCAACTATTTAAGAGAAAAAGATTTATAAATATGTTCTGCGTTTAAAGAGTTAATAAAGGCAGTGATTTTTGTAGAAGAGTTTGTAAGTGTAGATGAGGTACAAAATATATTTGCTATATTGTACACATGTAAAATAGTTTTTTTGGGAGGGAAGAGGGAAGTGTTTAATGGTGAAATTATGAACTATGTAATTAGCCACGGATAGTTTTGGTCAACAACACATCAAAAGCACTGCCCTCATGTCAATGGAAGTTTAGATTATATTAATGTTATTCATTTGTTTTCTAAAATTAAGAATACTTGAAAAGTATGTGAGATTTCTAATTTGTTAATTAAATTGTAACAAGTAATCCTACAATTGTTTACCACTCTCTTTTGTATTTAACTTAAAATACCACATTTAAGAGAACCTGAACTAGATATAATTTACAATCTTACCCATCAACTGCTAGATAATATTACATTATCCTCAGCCTTAGCATATTTAAAAATTAACACAAAATATTTTTCTAATGTAGAAGTTAATGGTTCTATGTTAAAGTTAACTTCTTGCTTTATACTTTTACTGTATTATTTAAAAAGCATTTATAAGCATTGACTTTAGTCAGTGTTAGGAAAGTCATCCCAAAGAGTATACAGGTATTTAAGGCATAAAAATATACAGATGTTAAAGACTTACTTAATAAGCTCCATTTCACCTAGTTGACTTTTCTTTAAAATATTATTTTAATAGCTATTTAACCTTTATTCTATTAGTGAGAATAAGAATTAACCTAATATAATTAACTATATATCTTAATATAAAGATAAGTTTTCAACAATATTGTCCATTTTGTTATCACTATATTGACTTTTACAGACAGGCTAACAATGTGGAATTCTCTCTCTTAGCCTGCAGTTCTACTGAAAAGGGTTACTACTGAAGCATCTTTAACAATTCTTCTCTACCGTTAATTATTCCTGGTCCATCAAACTTAACAGCAAGAGTAAAAAAACTTATTAAATGACAAAGTAAAAGAGTGGATCATTTATCAAGTTAGAAAGGTCTTTTAAATATTTCTATACAGTGGTTATAAAAGTATATAAAAAGCTCCAAGTTCTAAAAGTAATCTTCATATTTTCTAATTGTCGCTATGCTTTTGAAATTTATTGAAACAGTTGACAATTAAATATTCTGTCAAATTTCCAACTTCTATAATAAAAGCTGTATTTTCTTTTCTGTTTTATTAAAATATAGTTAGTTGACTTTATAAAAATAACATGTATGTGTACTTACATCATTTGTAGCTATCTTCTTAGATCTTGGAAGTGGAGATTTCCTATGTATGTGAATTGGCTCTGAAACCAGAGGCTTGAATAATACCACCGCTCGATCAACCTCATCTCTTTTAGACGTGTGTGGTTCATCATCATTATCAATTTTAAAACAACATTTCTTGCCTTCATTCTGTGACCAAAGATACGCAACACTTACAATTCACATAAGAAATATGAGGGGTCAAAAGTTAATGGAAAAATCCCACTATTTTTTTAACAGTTTACTGGCATGTAATAGACATATCATACAATAGTTTAATCACATCAAGATGAGTTATGCAATCACCACGACAATCAGTTTTAGGACATTTTCCTCATTCTTCTACTCCCCATTTGCCCCCAAACCCCCATACCTCCCCTCCCCCCAGGAGCCATCAATCTAGTTGCTGTCTCTATAGATTTACCTATCTTGGATTTCATATACAGAAAAACCTCCCACCCCACTGCAAAGAACATTTAAAAACAAAACTAACAACACTAACAAAAGAAATAAAAACCTCAACAGAGAAAAAGAGGAGATATTAAAAATTATAACACTTAAATGGTTATAAGGGAGATAAAGTGATAGGGAGCTGGATTTTACCCGAACTGCATCTGCAATCCATTTTTCAGTGCATTCTACATGATAGAAAAATTATTCATATCCCTGGTACACGGTCAAAGGAGTTTCACTAGGGACAAAAACGTGTGTATTCCCCCCACCCCCCCTTTTTTTTTAACTGAAACTGCTTTAAAATGGGTCAGAAGGGAAATCAAATGATATTACATTTTAGCCTAACTACATCTGCCATAATTGACTTTACAATCCTGCCTGTTCATAGGCCTATTCACATTCCTCAGGGATTCACCATGTGTGGACCCTGAAAATGGATTTTGGGCTTCTACTGGCATCCATAGCCTTCTCCAAACCAGGTGCTCAGAATTTAGGCTCTGATACCATTCCTTCCTTTAGATTTGGATATTATTTACAATTCTGTGACCCAAGGACTGTAAATAATATGATCCAAACCTAAGGGAGGGTATATTACCAGAGCTTAAATTGTGTACAATACTTGGATCACACAGGAAGAGCCCCGATGACTTAATAGTTGAGTTGGGCTGTGAACTGCCAAGGTTGCAATTTGAAACCACCAGCCACTCCGTAAACAGTCTATTCCCGTAATCTGTCTCAGAAACGGAACAGGGGCAGTTCTACCCTGTCATTATAGGTTGCTGTGAGTAGGCATTGACTTGATAGCAGTGAATGAGTGATTGGATCACACAGACTGGTGTGCTGTTTCCATGCGGACTTATTTGACACCTCACTTAAATGGCTGATTGCAGCCTTTAAGATTCCAGGTGCAATTCTGTCTGATAGCTGGGTGCGATCTAGTGTCTTCATCACATTTGCTACATCATCCATATCTTTAGCGATCTCTTCATGAGGATAAGCATCAAACAGAGTCATGTCCTAAGAACAAATTGTTCTTGAATTGGGGATAGAATTAAGTTCAAGCCCCAAATCCATTCAAGCATCCATGCTTTATACATGTCCCATTTCCCTCATGTTCCCTGGTGATTAGACCAATGTGCTGCTGCTTTAGCTAGTTCTCTGCCTCGACCTGTTTCATAAATGACCTGTGGGCCAAGCCAACTGATGGAACTGGTTGCTAGAGCTTGAGTCTCCTTTAAGACCTGCTTCTTCACATTGCAGGTGCATACATTGCTTGAGCTTTAGGCTGGTGGATCCTGTAGCCATACTTGAGTTTGAGATCCCATTGAGGCCTGCTTCACTAAGCTCCTGAGCTACTGACTATTGAATACCCACCCTGCTGTTTGCTGTCTGCGGGCAAGACTCTGCTTCCTTGACCTTGCACCCAGCAGCTTACCTGAGTTGAAGGACTTCCAGTATATTAACTGTTCTCCTAAAGTGAGTTGAACTGAGCCCTCTGTACTGTTGTGTGGACTAATTAGCTGTTACTTAACTTCTTGTTGTATAACCTATTCTCATATATATAAAATAAGTGTCCTGGTTTTGTTTCTCTAGAAAACCCTGCCTAACACAAGAACATTATCCATCAGACCTCCTGGGGCATCACTTCCAGGTCAACATGTCAATATTGATTCATAGTGACCCTATAGGGCAGGATAGAATTGCCCTGTGAGTCTCTAATCCTGTAAATTTTCACAAAAGTAGAAAGCCTCATCCATCCCTTGTGGATGGAGCTGGCTGGCACTTTGGAATTGCTGACCTTGTGGTTATGTGCCCAATAACTATGATGCACTGATAGTGCCATTAGTTTAGCCACATGGTATAGAATAAAAAAATGTTGAGAAAAGTTAAATTATATTAATTAATTCCAATTTCCATAAACTTTCTAAAGGCCCCTTCTGATTTCCTCTGATTAGCTGAACCTATGGTAAATTGTTATTTACTGTAAGTATGTTTAGTCAACTCAATTTTAATCAAACACAACAGCCTCATATACCTCACAGTATAGCATAAATGACAATTTGTAAAATGTCATACCAAATATACATCTACTGAGTGAATAAACTGAAGCACAGTAACACAATAAGACACATTCTACAATTTAGGAAGACTATACAAAATAAAATAGAATCATACCTAACATGATACATAAAAATGAACATAAAATGAGTTAAAGACCCAAGTGTTAAAGCTGAAGCCATAAAGTTCCTACAAGATTTTATACAGAAAAAACTCTGTGATCCTTTCTCCCTCCTGACCTCAATATATATTTTGGAAACTTAACAATACTGAAAGAAAAGAACAAAGTAGGAGGTCTCATACTTCCCAACCTCAAAGGATACTATACAGCCACAATAAACAAAATGACCTGATACTGGTTCAGTAATACATATGAGGGTGTGCTCAAAAACAAAACAAAGAAACCCGGACTTTTTTTCAAAGCTATGTATTTAAATTTTTCTACAAAACAACCTTATCACCTTCAAAGTGCTCTCCATTACCCTAAACACATTTGTCAAATCTGTGATTCCATTCTTTGAAATGTTTTTCAAACTCATCTGTTTGGGATGGCCGACAGCACATCCCCTGGTTTTTTCTTCATCTCTGCTATGTTATCAAATTATTGTCCTTTTATGTCCCTCTTCATTCAAGGAAACAAAAAGAAGTCGCACGGAGTGAGGTCAGATGAGTCAGGTGCAAGAGAGGCATGCTGTTTGTTGCCAAAAACTGGTGCCCTGAGATGGTTGTGTGAGCAGGTGAAATGTCATGGCGGCAAAACCAGTCCCCCCAAATCAGGCCTTTTTTGTCACACACTGTTAATGTAATCTTTTCAGAACTTCTAAATAGAAAGCTTGATTAACAGTCTGACCTGGTGGAACAAACTCCAAATGTACTACAAGTTGACACTTTCGTCTATTCAGGAAGTTGATGGACATCCAGAATGAGGTTTGTCATCAATCAATATTTCACTTTTTTTGTAAACACTTGTACACTTGAATTTTCCCATAGCCCTGTCCTTGTAAACTGTAGTCAACATCACAACAGTTTCTGTGGCATTTTTCACGAGCAGGAAACAACATTTCACAGGTACATGCTGTTCTCTTATATCAATCATCACAAAAAACGAGGTTGGAGCAAAACTGCTTTCATGAAAAAATTCACTGTGACCAGAGAGAAGTTTTCCAGGCAATGCCACTGGGAGCACTAACTCAGAGCGAGTTGCTTGGTGTTTGCCTACTGGGAAAATGTGTACGTACTATGAAAGTTCCACCTGGCGGAGCTTCTTTCCTTTGTTGGTACCCTCTCAAATGTATATAAAAAAAACAAAGCCATACTCAATGGCAACTCATAGCGACTCTATAGACCAGGGACAAACTACCTTATGGCTTTCCAAGACTAACTGTTTATGGAGTAGAAAGCAGACTTTCTCTCCCAGGTGCAGTTGGTAGTTTTGTACTGCTGACCTTTCTTTTGGTGCGTAGCCTAACACCTAACTACTACACCAGTGGAAAAGGAGCTCTGGTGGTGCTGTTGGGTTGGACTGTTAACTGCAAAGTCAGTAATTTAAATGCACCAGCTGCTTAATGGGAGAATGATGAGGTTGTCAGCTCTAACAAAAGATGCAGCCTTGGAGAGCCTATAATAAGGGCCCATGAATGGAATAGACTCAATGGATAAGAGTGGATAAGAGCAATGGAATAGAATTTAGAACCAGAATGAAACCTATGGACAAATGATTTTCTTAAACAATGAAGAATAGTCTATTTTAAAAATGGTGCTGGCAAAATTGGATAAGCACATGCCAAAAAAGGAAGCAAGACTTATATTTCAGACCATACACAAATACTAACTCAAAATGGATCACAGATTTAACCATACAGTTCTGGGAAGAAAATATAGTACAAAACTATGGGACTTACTTTTAAAAATTAATATACTATAAAATAGAACTACAAATGACAGAGCAGTGAAAAACAAAATAGATACCTGAAATTTCATAAAAATTAAACACCTGTACTCATCAAAAGTCTTTATTGGAAGTTAAGAAGACAAGCTATACAAAGGGGTTTAAAAAAATGGCCAACACACAGGGGCAAGTAACTAATCCTTAAAATATATATAAAACCATAACATTCCAAGAAGAAAAAGAAAAACAGCCTAATTAAAAATTGGGTAAAGGACATGGACAGCTTACCAAAGATAATATCCAAATGGCCACCCGACATATGAAGAAATGCTCACTAGCCGTTTGTGCGATGCAAATCAAAGCAACGATGACATACCACCTTACACAAACAATGGGAGCCAATTTAAAACAAACAAATAAACATCAAATCCTAAGAGGGTTCTGATTGACTGGAACTCACATACACAGTTCAACCCACATACAAACACTGTGGAAAGCATTTACAGTGTATCTTCAAACAACTGGAAATAGAAATTCCATACAATTCAGTAATATCACTGTGGGTATATATGCTAAGGAAGTAAAAGAGTAAAAGCACAAGCAGACATATGCACACCCATATTCATCACAGCACTGTTCTAAACAGCAAGAAGAAACAACTAAATGCTCACCGGTAAAAGAATGGATAAAGAAATGTGGGGACACACACACAATGAATACTATGCATGCTCAAAAACAATGATGAAACCAT